GTTTAGTGTGTGTGTTCTATTCACTGGTTGACAGCGTGCTTGCTAAGGATATTTTTTTGTTGTTTAGCAAAGGCTTTTTTGTCATGTGCGAATGAAAGGAAAACAACGGGTGGATTTGGTGCATTTAGCCATGGCCCTATCAGGAATGAATTGTGTCTGAGAGTGTTGGCTGTTGCCCTGCAGGAGAGGAGACAAGTGTTGAGGACGGGGTGTTTGATGTTTTGGAATGGGTGATCCCAGCCACCAGCTCAGGTGTGGATCCCTGATTGTCCAGCACCTTGGGACGTCCTATTGACGTGAAAGGCATTATACAAATGTAATTTGTTGTTGTTGTAACTTTTACTATTAGCAGTGATGTTTCTGGGACTATGTCTGACGTCTCCAAGAGTATCTTAAACAATAAACAGCCTTCCTTCCATACTGTGAGAATTAGTACACTGTTGGATGTTTCTGGTCCTTGGCAGAGCTTTTGATTCGCTCTGTGAGGGGAAGGTTATACAGAGCTATTGGAAGGACTGTGGCTTCCAAGGCCCAGATATGGCTTTAGCTTTGAGGCGTTCTCCTGATGTGAAAAAAGGAAGGATGATTTACTATAATGCTTAGGATACTGATGGATAGAATTAGAAAAATACGTTCCATAGTATTTCACTATGGGTCACAAGACATAAATTCAACTCCCATCTGAGTTTCAATCTTTTAATAATTGTTTGAAAAAACAGCTGGATTCATACTACAGCACATGTACTGTGGACATGTGAAGCAACTACAATTTATTCAACTCACAGCTCCATCTGGTGATCAGTAATATAGAGCATGTTCACTTTGCTGTATAGTGAAACAACATTTCTGTTCTAATCTTTTATACAGTAGTTGTAAAGCTAATCCACTCACTGAGTCCACCCAGTGGCTTCCGTGTGCAGAAAGGTGCCAATTCACTCTTATCAAAACGCCCAATTTCATGATGCCTTAACTTTACTTTGAAATGACACTCCCATCAGTTTGCACATCACACAGAGCAAATTGTCAGGTTTGCTGAATGCATTCATTGCATGTGATAATTGTGAAATGCTACTAATTTACCCCCACATTATTTGTCAATTTTTTTTATTCTTGAAAAACAGTTCCTGTACTTTTGTTAATTACCTCCACTCATCCCAATACTCAAGACAATCATTAAAATAGGAAATGCAGGCACCGTAAATTCAAAGTATGATCTTGAAAGACTTGTAAATAGGAAAAGGTTCACAAATGCAACTTTAAAGAGCTTTCCCAGGAGTATGCTTTTAAGGAATGGTCATTCGAGTGGACTTTCAGAATTTGATTTCAAAATCAATGGGGCTACTTGTAGTATCTGTTGAAAATCATATTGATCGGGTCAACTTCAACCTGACTTACTCCCAAAGGTCCCCTTGCTATAAGGTTAGGACCAGAATTCGCAGAAGATAGAAGAAACTAGTGTGACATTTCCAAACAGGTAATCCTATATATTCCAAAAATATGGATGTCCTTCCAGAAACCAAACTTAAGGGTAGCGAATTTATGGAGTTCTCTACCCCAGAAGACTGTAGATTCTCAGTCCTTGAACATATTCAAGACTGAAATTGATAGGTTTCTAAAGGATAGAGGGATTAAGGGATATGGGGATAAGGCGGGCAGATGGAGTTAGGTTAGAAGATCAGCCATGATCTTACTGAAGGGCGGAGCAGGCTCGAGGGGCCGAATGGCCTACTCCTGCTCCTAATTCCTATGTTCCTATGTTAAGATAGTTTTACAATAGCATGGTCACTCCCTCTGGATAAATTCAGTCTTTCAAATATTCTGTTTATGTCTATACTGTTTTCTTTTTCTAAACATCTGTATAAAGTTGATTTATCTTCATTCCTTCGTTAGTACATTTTTCAATCCTCTATCTTATAAAGTTTGTCTTATACTTTTATTTCCTTTTTATTTGATCGGTTATAAAATGTTACATTTAAGTTAATTTATCTTTTCACCTTCTCTTTCTCTGCCCTGCTCCTTCCTTTCCTTGGTTGTCTTATCCTGCCTCTTGTACATTTTTTATACAATGTTTTTCGCTAATTTATCGCCTAATCTCACTCTTTGTGACACTAACCCTCTTTTGATCTTTCCCTCACTGAATAGCTGTCAGAAAGTGATGTGGAGGAGGCCGGGGACAGATTAAATTTAACTAATGAGTGCTGGTGAGCAAAAAAAAATCAGAAAAGCGGAACAGGTCAACGTTCGCCTGGCAGCTATCTATAACCCCGTTAAGTAAAGTGAGAAGACTAGACCAGAACTATTGTGATGTGTAGCTCAATGGCCCCTTTTCTCATTGGGAAAATCCTAGAACTGTAAATCATGCAATCACAGGCAAGTGAACCCAGTTATAAGGGAACCCCGAATAACCGTGTGAGCTACAATAATTCATAGTGCTTGTCCATTGCAACATCACATACCGCTTCATGTCCCACACATGGCAAAGGTCAGCAAACGAACTACATCATTGTACCATACTGACAAGTCACATCAGTCACACTCTACAGACTATTTATTGCAGATAAGAATGAGCACAAAACTCAATAATGATGTTAAAATCAAGTGCACACTTTAATTATTTCCTAAAGCAGGTCCTAAACATTTCCTTGTTGCTAATGATGTGAGTGCTGTCACACTTTGCTGCCATTGTCTGGTCACCTGAATCTAGTCATTAACAGCAACCAGGACACGACCCATAGAGTGGTGCTTTGTAACGATAATAATCCTTGCAATTGATACAGCACTTTTCCTGTCAGGAAGACATCTCATAGGGCTTCACAGGATTTGCTGTAAAATGTAATAACTGGATTTGTAGGCAAACCCGGCAGTCAATTTGTGTACACTACTGGTCCCAGAAACAGCCATGAAGTGTTAAAGAAACAATTTTATCTGGGCAATTGTTGGTTAGGACCCCAGAGAGACTCTCTTCACTTTTCAAGTAATGCCATGGGATCTTTAATGTCTACCTGAAGAACAACTTGCATTTATATTGTGCCCTTCACATAGGATAGTGTCTCAGAGTGCTGTCATGTAGCACTTGCAAAGCACTGTATTGAAGTATTATCTTGGTAGCCAGATCAACAGGGCATCTTATGCCAGAACTACAATTAACCTGCCAAATGCTGCCCCCCTTTCTTCCCCAAAACCAAGTCCCCTAAAATGGAGGAGTGGGAGGAAGAACTGCAACAGAGGAAAGAATTGTCACATTATTTTGAAAAAGTAACATTGTGAAAATATGCGCTGAATGCTCAGTGAGTAGGAATGCACTATAGAAAACAAACCAACTATAATGTAACCCTTGTGTCACCGGATAGACAACTCTACATAATGTCAATTAGTACAGTTAGAACTGTTGTAAATAAAAGGTGTAATCAGTTCGCGTTGGGAAGGGAAAGCAGAGAATAATAGTTTACTGAAATGTACTGAAGAATGCAGAGTCCGATTGGGTTTAGTGAAGGGAGAATTCAGTAAATAATCTTATCGATTATGTACAGCACACGGGAATATTAGTACTTTCCTCCCCTCAGCTCTGTCAGCTGTGCTGGTGAAATACAAGGAACGTGGATTTTGTGGTGATTTTTTTCATTAGTTTTTAAGTGAACTATTCAAAATCATCTTCCCTTAAATGTAAAAAAACTTTCATTCTTGACCAAGAGAAAATTGCACAAAGCTAATAAATACAGAAGATAAATATTATTTAAAAATGTTTGCACTTGGCTCATGTCTAGATAACAAAGGACTGGACAAAAAAATGTCTTCTCTCTCGCTGGTTAAGAATTGTGAATACCTTCCTCTCACACTACTGTTGTCACCTTTTATTCTTGTTCATTTTCCTTTCAAGTGAGGTGCCGAAAGCAGAAGAGGCTTCTGTCTTATACGAACAACTTTCATTTCATGCTCAATCTTTGTCCTTTGAGACTCATGATATCAAAGCTAAGCTGTACCACCAGTAATTGATTCTCTCAGTTTTGTCTTTGTAATCTAGATTCCAGTAATGTTCAGAAGCAAGGATATCGTTACTGAGTTACACAAATGCACTTCCGTCTATTTATATATTTTACAAATGCTTTTACGGTCTATGTTCCTTTCAACTGAGGAATTTCGGAAGTGTATATTGTAAGGATCCAGAAATCAACTGCACAAGTCAACTTGAGCCAAAGCAATTTGCCAGTCAGTTACCATTATCACAGAAAATGACCACCTACTTACATGAATGAAAATTGTGAGAAATGTCACTTCAAAATGACAAGAGTATATTCTCAGATCCATCATACTATAGCGCTGAGGTCACCCAAAGCAGTTCTCAATCCTGATTATCAAAGAGCATAATGTTACCCGTCACTTTGTAGATAGACCCATTTATTTGAATACAAAATACAATCACTGTTTTATCATTGCTATACTTTAATGCTCAAAAATCAGTTTCTGGGAAAGGAGTAGAAAAGGGATTGCAAATAAATGTGGTCCACATTTGGGTGAAGGGCGAAAGAATGCAGACTCGCGGTAGCAATGTTTCCGATGGATTCCTGGTTTGGTGAGATGTGTTCTGTGCAGTCTTGTACTAGTCATGTGATTGATTCAAAGAAGTGAACAGTAGTTTAGTTGAGATGGTGGAACTTCACAGGTGTTGTGGGTGAAACTGATGCTTAAATCCCACCCAAACTGCTGGTAATTGCAGTTTACCTGCATTATACGCTTTGGACTCTCAATACAGTTAAATAAACAACAACAACTTGCATTTATATATCGCCCTTCACGTGGCGCTTATAGTGCAAAGCACTGAGGTCAGATTCCATTGAACACAACAACAATAGACTCCCACGTTTCTCATTACTTCTATTACTGCATTTGCGTTTGAAGAAAATGCATCACTTTTATCAAGACATATTTGAATATCAAGGACGCTTGATTTCTTATCAGGTTTAACATCTAGTAGATAAGTGTTCATTACAAACCTGTCTTTCTGTAATTGTGTTTAATTAATATACAGTTACAAAAGATGTACACCCAAAGCAGATAAACAGAAGTTTAAACAAGGTTACACTTTAATAATTACTGTTTACTTCATTGTAGGTGAGGGAAAGGAAAGTAAACATACACACATATTCACATCAGTACCTTTCAGCAGTTTTAATTTACTTTCGGTCAGTCACAAAACAAGTGCTTGAACCTTAGTGTTGTCGAAGAATGTACCATCTCAAAATCTCTACAGGCATTCTGAAAGTAAACTGGACATTTCGTAAACCTGCTGAAAACTGGAGCTGTTTCACCAGCCAGCCTGTTCTTGCACCTGTCCTGCTTTTTCAGCACAAGCAGCCTGCCATTCCGTTTACACTGGGAAAACATCGATGCACTTGATCTATTGCCGGGGTTGTGGGAGAGAGACTTGAAGTCACACAATCATAGATGTGCAGACTTGTGTCTCAGTGACATTGGCCTCTGCAGGCTTAAGAGTGCATTCGGCAGCATTCCTTTAGTGAAACTATAAGTCAACTGTTTCTCAAGGCTTAACTCCTGGGAAGAGGAGAATGTGGGGAGGGAGGGAGGTAAGGGGGAGGGGTGGAGGGGTGGTGGTGGGAGGGAAGGGGAGAGGGGAATCTACAAAGCAATTCCAACCAGCAGGACAACTGGAGTCAGTCTCCCCATGCTTTAGTAACGGACTGACACGTAGATACAAAACAGACCGCAACATAGATTTAAGACATTATTATACACAATATCTGCTAAAGGCTTTCAGTACAAGTTTAGTGCACACAGCATTGATAGTAAACAGTTCATTTTTACAGCTTATCCTTAACGTTTAAAATGACATTTTTTGTGTTTACAGACATTATGTTGGGGGATAAACGTATAAACAATACTGTACATTAGTATACAGATATACCCTCACTTTACCACAGAGAAACACATTATTCGAGCCAGTAAAAACCAGGAGCAAGTCTGTCTTTATTTTCTAAAATAATCAGAAGAAACTGCTAAAGCAGTCACAAACCACACCATGCACCAATAACTTTGCAGAGGCTTTAGTTTCCTGAGGTTTGAATAAAATTGACATTTGAACACAAATGCCAAAGATAGACTGCAAAAGCGCAGGAACTTCGCTTGTTCTTGGATGCAGTTTAAAACTCCCGGCAAAAATTCATTCCCATTTTAATGTTATACCGTATTGGCTGTGACGTCCAAAGCAAATTCCATGTTAAAGGGGTCAGTTTTAAATCACCTTCCACTGCATCACACTCATGTCCTTCCCACCAGTGGAGATCAGCTGACTGTCATTGTGCAGGAAGTTTACATTGGTGACATGGCTGCTGTGCCCTCCGTACGTGTGACTTGGAGCCTGGGAGAAATAAACAGAGAGATTCTTTTTGGATCAAATGTCAATCAAAAGGTTTCCTGGAATTGTTTACTCATCTTTTAGGATTAAATTACCGAAAACTGCCAGAAGATAAACATGCCTTCAAATGGACACTCACTGCACTTAACAGCAACTGCCTGTGAAGCAATTGGATATGTTTTGATATTATGTACGCTATATCAAATACGAGGATTATTATATATTATTTTAAGCAACAATCTTCACCCATGGCCTGAGCTCATTCTAGTTTTGTGAGAGCAGGGTTCAGGTGATGTAAGCAAGTCTGTAGGAACCAGCAAGGTAGTTAAAGGCTACCCCATTGTCTCTGAAACTGACTTGCCTCATCCACTGAATAAAATGGGTCATTCCTTGGATAAGGTACTGATGTTCCTACTTGATGTACATTACAGTCAAAACTAAGCTGATTCCCCCCACTCTTCCAATCTACTGTATGGTGGGGAGGGGAGAAACAAGCTATAGATCCCATGGCACTATTCAAAAAGAGAAGGGAGATTCCCCAGTGTTCGGGCCAATAATTAGCCAGATAAAATTGGTTACTCACTTCATGGCTGTTCGTGGGACATTGTTATATGCAAATCAGCTGCCGTGTTTGCCTACAAAATGCAGTTACTACACTTCAAGGGTATATCCTGTGAACCACTTTGAGACATATTAAGGATTATTATTAAAGATTATTATTAAATCAATCTCTGCATCGATTCCTGTGAAGTACGTGAATCAAGGTTGGGTTTCATTCATTTTATAACACTTCATTACAATGTATATGTAAGAAAAAAATTGCTATACCCTAGCCTGTGTGCATGGAGATGAAAACAGATGGACTTTGCCAAAATCATCTCCTGTAGTCAGAATCTTTTTGTCATAGGATCTGCACAGAGCATTGATGTCAGTTCCATCTGAACCCTCAGGCCAAACACCTGCAAAACAAGGTACAACGGAAGGTTATTTAAAGTGGAGGTTTCTGCGCAGAATTCAATAACTGGGAGGTATGCAACAAAATGGTTGAATGCTAGAAATGAAAGGGCTACCCATAAAACGATTGGTACTAACGACAGAGAGAGGACTCTTATGCATTGTGTTTTGTGTAACCGCCCTCCGAGATTTAAAGCAACTTTAATTGTAATAATCTTACAGTAAGGTTTGGTTCATGGTGTCACTAGCGAACACCACAGAAATATGTAAATGGTACAGGATACTCACCAAATACATTGAATCCTAGCGTGCAGGTATAGGTGGCCCAATCCGCATCCCTTACGTTTTCAACACTGACCACTTGCTTGCAGACTGAAGGCATCCCTATGCCACATGAGCAAAGCAAAATGTGCATCAGACAAACTGGCTTTGTGGTCAGTGGTTCACAGTGATGGTACAGATAAAGTTTCAGGCAAACAAAATTGTTCCCTCCTCCCGAAAGAAAACCTTAGAAATCCGAAATCAAGCAAACCTTCAAGGCAAATACAACACATGTATTCACTTTACAGTACATTCTGCCAAGCGCTTTGAGATGCCTTGACGACATGATAAGGCGCTATATCAAATGCAAGGATTATTATTATTATTATGTAATACTCACAGTAAAGGATTTCGTAGTCCCCAGAATTGGATATTAAATATTGAGAATCAATCGACCAGTCTAGATGCGTGATAAAACTAGAGTGACCCTGCAAGTGGAATTAGATTGATTTAGTGGGATTTAATAAATCAGCTGCGATGACACGTATAGAAAAGTATGTAACTCTTACCAAACCCCATACAAATGGAGGCTGCACTATTGTTCCAAGAAACAAGGTGTGGCCTCATTTTTCAGGAGGAAAGTCCTGATCAGTCAAGTCAGTCATCAAGGCTGTAGGAAGAAATACCACTAAACTGAAAATGACCAAAATGGTCATTCACTTTGTGTTGGAACTTATCAAGTTTCTGACTGTAGAGAATTTGGAAATTACATGCTTAGCATTCTATCACAGGAAACAGCTGCAATACAGACCTAGGAATTCAAATGAAATGTGACTTACTGAGCATTTACCAACACGGCTGTATTTTCTGCCATTCTCATTGACTGTGTAGATGTAAATGTAGTTGTCATGAGAGCCAATAGCTAGATAGTTTCCCTCTGGCAAAAAAAAGAGAGGAGGCATGACGTGTGATAAATAAAGTAAAAAGCACTTTGGACAAGTACAGAGAGATGTATACACTTTGCTGATACAACAGTAATGCAAGCTCTTTTTTCCTTATTAAAATACAGACAAATAACTGTAAGTTAACAAAATGGACTGTAAGTGCATTTGTAAAATATGTAAACAGACATAAGTGTGTAAATTATTTATGATATCTTTGCTTCTGAAGATTACTGGAATCTCGATTACAAAACCAAGACGGGGAGAATCAATTGCTGATAGTAGAGGCTATCATGCAATTGCTTTTACTGTTTAAGCCCAACACTAATCCTTTTATAACACTCTCAGTTTAGCGGTTTTGTAGGTTTATTAAGTTTGTCGTTTTCAGCAAAGAACTTACAGGAGACTAGCTTCCAAACTCAGGCTTCATTTATGAATTTGACAAATTCTGTATGTCCTAAAATATTATTGAACCAGGTAGAATTTCCACCCCATGGTTCGTGTTGAAAGACTAAGCATACTATTCCCTCCCTATTCCTTCCCTAAAGGCATGGAAAGGACAGCAAATAAACAGTCGACCTTTCAAAAGTGGGAGGAAGAGAGAGGTAGATACCTGGTGAATAGCGCATGACTGAGAGCTGCTCGTTACCATCTGTGTGAACGGTCACCAGATCCTTGGTCTCTGTCTCCAGAACAAGCCATCTGTTAATGAAAAGAAATTAAGTCTGTGTCAATGCTGACCTTGGAGGCGTTTGCTAAGTGTTTGCCTGCACTTCCCCACTACAGCACCAGCTGCTGTCCTGAACCCACATTGTCATATAGTTGTTCGGTGCTGGCAATCACCAATTGGCTGCAGGGCTGTTTAAATCACAGCTATGGGAAGCGCAACATCGCCTAAGCTATGACGTCTAAATAAGAGCAAAGTGTGCAACGCAATGGGGTCACGGCATTCCCCTGGAGCACCATTGACAGATCCAAAGGCAGCCAGTAAACGGCAAGTGAGGTCCAAGCACGAGAGCCACAAGCAAGGCTGGTTCTCTTCATATAATAAATAATATTCCTTGCATTTGATATAGAGCCTTATCACATAGTTAGGACGTCTCAAAGCAGAATGTACTGCAAAGCGAATTGACTGTATTTTGTAAGCGAAATGCCATGAACAGCGAACCCACAGCCTGAACTCGCCATGAACTCCGGTGATGCCTGTAATCCCTCTGATCACCAGAAGGTTTCACTATGGTTACACAACTCACTTAACGAAGTGCAGCCTTTCAAGCCTTCCTTCCTGAGCCTGTCTGTGTTCCCTGACGTGTTCAGTGATAAATTAATAACGGTCGTTGCAAGCGAGGGCGCATTTTAAAGCGATTAGATGTGAGTTGCTTCCAAATCAAAGGAAATTTCCAATTAACTATATTCCCATTACCACAAATTACTCCCAAACATGTCCAGAATCATAAAAAATACATTGCCCCCAGCGCTGGACATTAAGTTCCTTATGCAAGGAATTTTCTCCCTTTTTTTTGCTGGGAGCCAGAACTTGCCCTTAGAATATAATAACATAGCAACGGCAATAAAGGAAAACGAGACATGACTCGACTGATAAAGGAACGCACAGAAAAGCAACTTTGTCATACTTACCTTCCAGTTTGCGTTCCTATAGCAACCACGGAGCCTGATGGATGGAAACCAGCAGACTGAGCCGGGTCCTATAGTGCAGAGGGAGAGTAACAGCAAATGATATTCAGAACAATACAGTGCTGGTAATGAACTAATTGCACTGCACCATGCTGAAAGGTTGTAAATCTCAATTGCAGTACGGTAATTATGTAGGTGGAATGTTTCCTGTCAAGCAAACATTTACTTATAAAATTACAGTGTTTTCATAATTAAACTCTGCTACCAGCAAATCTTGACACTGTGGTACAGAGGGCCAGCTTTATTTACTCCACTGGCACAAATTAGTTGGGTCCAAGTAAAACAAAATTCCCATTAAATCGGAAATAACGACCAAAATATATTCATATCATAAACATTTATACTGGGCGACTTTGATCCTCACTAAGTACCCCAGAAAAAGATTATTCTCTGCTTACATTGTAAATAAACTTCTTACGTGGAAGGCAAAATCATTTAAGCATTTTCATTAAAATTCACTACTGGAAGCTGTGGCTGCAGCAAGGAGCATGAATGTATTTAAGAGAAAACTTGATGTATACATGAGGGAGAAGGGAATTGGGGAGTATAGGTGCGGGGAATAGGAGGGATAGGACGGACCAGCTAAGTCGAGTGGCCTGTTTCTGTGCTGTATCGCTCTTTGTACCTCTATGGACCCTAACTGCGTACATTTGGAAAAATAAGACTACTTGTTACCTCTATGATTTTGCTCCATATAGGTTGATGAGCGAGGGCATCCCAGAGAGTAATATGCTTGTCATGCCCGCATGTTAGGAATTGTTCCTTGTTTGGATGGGTTGCTAAACCCCACAGTTCATCGGTGTGACCCTGCAAAATATTACACATTGTTCATTGTTGAACAAATAAAAATGAATCAAGTTAATTCGTAAGGCGGAAATTAAATGATGCCGAGCCTCAACAGGTTAATAGACGATGAAGTTTAAAGTAAAAGTACTGGAATTACTTTGTGATCATTTGTAAGTTTCCAGTACAACATATAGTTGTCCACAGTCATTATTTTTGCTCCAGTGCAAGTGAAAAACATGTGGCAATGTGGGACAGTCGTGACTAAGTCTATGCTTCTTTGAGTGGAATATTTCATTCGCAGCAACTAATGGGTCAGTTCTTCTTTAGTTTTACTTAACAGCCTGCACCAATGGTTCCGAAAGGAGATTGTTGGGGAGAAAGGGTAAATCACTTGCTTAAGGACAGCCCACACAAAGAGGAACAGATTATCCAGCTGACAAGCTTGTTCGGGCGCCGCTCATTATTGGTTAATGCAGAGACTTATTGACTACTTTTGTGCGGATTGTGATAAAACAAAAGCCATCTCTCAAAGTGCGGTGAATGGAATGTACAAAGGGAGCAATTAAAATTCACACGGCTGCTTAAAAGGTGCCAGTTATCTTTCATAGCTTCGCAAGACAGTCAAGAACATTCACAGACATTGAGAGCAGTTTTAGGTCTTCACAGAACAGACAGTGTAAATCTCAAGCTGTCTGCGGGAGAGGGATTTATGATAAGGATTAATCAGGAAGATTGAGTGAGCTCGATCTGCGCACTATTAGTGTCTGTGATATTCATTGATGGAAAGGTTTTCCAGGTAACTAATGAGGAAATGAAAGAGATACAGAGCGAGTCATTGTCAGATCGGTTGCTTTTACCTGGGTGATTGGGTGAAAGTCCCCAGATAAAGTGCCTTGTAGGATGAAATTCCTCGTTGTGCCAATGAGCAAAACTTCTCCCCTCTCGTCAGTGACTGTCCTCACTGGGCCAAACTGTTCAGGAACCTGAATTTCAAAACAAAGGGAGGGGATAACGTCCATAAGACCATAAGACGTAGAAGCAGGAGTAGGCCATTCGGCCCCTCAAGTCCGCCCCGCCATTTAATAAGATCATGGCTGATCTTCTAACCTAATTCCATTTACCCGCCCTATCCCCATAACCCTTAATCCCTTTATCCTTCAGGGGAACTTCAGAATATGGTCCCCCACAAATCTGTCCAGCAACGCAACTGAAAAACCAAAGGGTCAAGAAATATCCTGATGAATCTGATGCAATGGATCCCAAGAGAGGTTTGGATGAAGAAACTTCTTTGGCTCATTTGGTTTCATCTTTCTAGAACGCCCACCCTTCTGACCTACAATTACAGTATCAAGCTTTTTTTTAATAATCCATGTCCTAGCTTCAACTAACTATCCTGGTAAACCATTCCATTGTTAATTACTGTCTGGTCGAAGAATTAAATACTGGTGTCTGTCCTGAAATGGCCCTGTGTAACCCTAGGCCCTCATGTTTTGTTGTCTCGACACATCCAAAAGTATTGTTTTGAGTTTACCTTCTCAGCGCCTTTTAAAAATTTGGATACCTTCATAAAGTCCCATCCGAGATGTCTCTTTTCTAAACTGAAGAGTCCGACTTTCTCTACTTGTTGCTCATTATTCCTTTAACACTGGGGATTATTCTCGATGTTGTCCTCTGCACTACCATTATGACAGAGTATCACATCTGCGGTTCTGAACTCACCGGATTTAGCAGTAAACCCAATAAGTGTAAGTGAAGCTTATTTGCCTTGAGTATTCCGAGGTTTGTGTTACTGAGGCAACATTATGAAAACCCACTTGGTAGAGTGCATGCACTTTTGTGCAATCGAACTAAATGTTTGGCAACATGACAACTTTTGGTTACTGTCTAGCCTCTAGGCTGCCGGCCAATATTTATGCAGCTTATGTAGTCAGGATCCACAAGCCGACTTATTTTAGCAGATTTAAATTGCAACTCTGCAGCAGGCTGTGCTCTTCAGGTTATGAGCACAGCATATCTTCGTCAGAAAGTATTACCCTGTTTCTCTGAACGGTAAAACACAAGCAGAAACAGCAGACAGAACAAATGTCAGGATTAATTGCTTACTGTGAGATTACAGGCAAACACCCAGTTCCTTTGATGTCCATTCAATTATCATCACCATACAAGCTTTTGTGTTCAATCTGGAGTCATTACCAAGGACAATGCTTGAAATGTTCACTACATGCTTTTGTTAACGACAAATGCTGAGGTTAGATTGTCAGTGCTGGGGAGCATGGCTCTTTTCAGCAATCAGGTCAGGTACAGTACCTTGTCAGATACAGAATAAACCTCCCTCCCTCGGTGCTGCCCAAAAATTAATTTGTTTTTTGTTTAGCATTGTTTTTTGTCTCAATAGTGCACATGAGAACAGTTTAATTTTTAAACTACTGTACCCACACTGACAATGAGATCTCTCAAAGGCTATTTACAGATTTTTTTAAACAAATATTGATTCAACTAAAGGCTAAACTCTGCCACTGTTAAGCACTCTGAAACGTTACCTCAGGTGAAGGCCACTATATAAATGCAAGCTGTTTTTGTCGTCGTAATTTGATAATCCAAAGGTGACGAAACATTACAGAGATTTTCTTTCAACTAGTAACCTGAACTTGGATACAAGGATTTGAATAGTAATCCCAAAATAATTGGCACACACATCCTATCAATAAAAACATTATGGTACTTTATAGATAGCAGAGGCTTAGTTTTAATCCAACAGCATCAATAAATCAATATCAACAATCATGAACCAAGCAATAATTTCTTTCATTAAAGCAGGAATGATCACAGTTGCTCAAAGTAGAGGGGTCTAATTTGAGGTATTTCTTAACCAGATTCCATATGAATTCCTTTTAGAATTCTTAGGATCTGGTGTCTCCCACCCACTATTTAAGGGACGGACAAATTTAAAGAATGATAAATAACTTAAGAAAATATAGATGAGATTTATAGACAGTATATTCGGTGAAGAACTTTGAGATGTCTCGAAGATGTGATAAGGCGCTATATCAAATGCACGGAATATTATTATTATTTAATAGAAAGATCTCAATTTATTGCACAGAACGACAATTATCAGTGAGTAATGATGCAAATAAAAGATCTGGAGTGTGAGAGTAACTGTACTCCAAAAAGACCAGATTTAATTTTTGGTTCCTACTATAATTTTTTTTAACACTTGGACCTCACCAGACTATTTTCCCCTGAAAGACTTATTGTTTTGCACCGCAGTACAGAGGGCCCATTTATAAGAGGTACTTGGGTAAAGTTTATCTCGTGTAACGTTACCAACAGTTTAACATAAAAAAACATTACTGGGAAGAAATTCCACCTCAGATTAGATTTACTCTGTATATTCAGAGCATCTAGAAATTGTTGAATTCAGTAATAAGTCCTGATTTTCTGCAGATCTCAAGAATTAAGAATTTGCCAAATTCTGGATGCCCTGAAACGTAAATTAGAGTAAATCTAGACCCAGGTATACATTAATAGACATGAATGTTTGAGCGTTTAAGACCAGAGTCAGATTTATAGTTGTAATGTAATAATTTTAAATGTAATATAACAAGCAGTATTAAGGGACTCAAAGACTTTAGCACTGCAGTTTACTCTGGAGATCACCTTAGATTCCGTATTGTACCTGCATTTGCTTCTTTCATCAATATTTGACAGAACACTGTTAAATCTCTCCTCCCACCCAAATGACTGCTAGCTTTCCTAATTAGTGAGTTACAACAAGTCTGGGAGTAAATTTGAAGTGTGTTTATTGTCAGGGTGATTTTGTGAAGATAATTTAAAAGGCTTAACATCGATAGAGAGGGGCAGTGCAGAGCCTGCAGACATGGAGGGACGGGATAGAGAAAGGCTCTGAGCGTTGAAATGTGTGGAGGCGAATAGGAGAGTGTTCAAATCATTCACTCGCCTTCGTCTTTGCTCTGTGATGGTTTGGGTCGCATTGCGAGCCCTGCCACCATCGCTGGTTTGCTTGTTAGTCATGAAGAAGGAATTGAACAGGTGAAAGAGAAGAGAGGCACTGAGAGATCCAGAGCAGAGCAAACTGGCTTTCTTTTAATTGAAAATAAGGGCAGTGTTTCACTAATATCCTAAATAGGATGCAAGGATTTGCTTTAACATTATCCCAGCAACTGTGCAGGTCATTGCGTGTGCAACCAAGCAATACTTTCACAGGAATAGCTTCTGTGCTCCTCCAAGGCTTATTTTAGGAAAGTGAGTGTCTTAGTTCTCAAGAGAAATGACGTCTAAATGTTTTAAGAGTGGTAGTAAAAGTGTAGAAATTTATGCTACACCCTCCTGTGCTTTCATTCACGGTAATGAACTTGCAACACAGACTTGTTTTACGATTATCAACAATAGTTCCAACAAGCTAAAAATGGACACCATTACACTTCATTAAACTTTGAACCGGTCAACAAGACTATACATTGAAGAGAAAATGGACAAATTGTACTCTCCCAACAAAAGTGGTTAATTCTGCGTCATTTAGCTCTTTCATTAAAGGGAGTGAATGAGTATCAGCTTGAGAACATTATAGGGATAGGTGCGGACTGAAATGAACAAGTATTCCAAGGAACACAATGATTTCTGTGTTGTCAGGGCCCTGGAGTGGGGATGGAGGAGGTGGGGGGACAGATAGGGGTGTCTGTCGACGGAAACAGTTGAATTGTGGAGTGGGGAATGAACGACTATTCTGTAGTCTTTGCTTCACTGTCTTTGGGTTCCAGAGTGTCTATGGAAACTTTTCCCCTGGGAGATAACTGTGGCTGTGATCCAGCAGTTTTTTTTGATGGACTGTGGAGGAAGTGGGCTTGATGAGCCAAATGGTCTTTCCTGACCCAATGCTTTCTTAGTTTCTTTGTTGATATAATTAGGAAGCTGGTATTGAGAAGAGCAAATTAGTCCTTATTGACAGCCTGAATAATGCAATGGAGTAAACCCTTGAGTTATCCAGAGAGTACGATTATGTGATGTGTGGTGATTGGATGGATGTTTGGGTTGGAAATCTCACCTCGGTTTCTTGCATCTTCTGGAAATTCCGGTCCCAGGAGATGAGTTTACGGTCTTTCCCTCCACCAGATACCAGCGTGCCGTCCCTCAACATGCAAAGTGCAAAAATACCTCCCTCGTGAGCTCCCTGAATAGCATAACTAATCCGGTTGGTACCTGGAAAATAAATCATTACCATCATTGTAAAGTTACATTCAGATGCACAAAGTTACTTTCTCAAAGAGAAAATAAACAAAACTATCCATCTTTCGTAATCGAAGTTGAACATTTGTTTGCAAGTTAGTTGGCAACTTAGCAACAGATTGTCAGATGTTACATATTTAATGCAACTCACAGTATTCCAGAATACTCATCAGAACATAAGAATTGCTAGACAAAAGAAGACCAAGCTCCAAACAGTTTGCCTGGCAGTCACATGCACGCGTCATATCCCAAACTATAAACTGCATCAAGATGTCATTCAAAAAAACAACTTGCTGTGTTGATCTTACCTTTTCCCCAAACCAAAATATTTCCACTCGAATCACCAGTTATTGTGTCGCCGTTTTCAGCAAAGGTCACACACAACACAAACTTTGGTTTCTCGTGTTTCTGTGATGGAGCAAAGTCATTTAGAAAACATTTGCCTTTTAAAGTTCAGTCGCAGTTTCTGGATTAAATATTGATTTAGAAAACCATTTTTGCATCGCTAATGCCTCATTTATAACGTCTAAATTCAAGGGATCTTACTTGATTGTAAAACAACCTGAAGAGGGAAGCCCATTTTATATTATGTAGGTGCACACGGCTGCCAATTTACACAGCAATATCCCCCAAACATCCATGAAGTGAAACGACCAATTTTATCTGGAGCAATTGTTGGCTGGAACTCCCTTAATACTTGTTGAAAGGATATTTAAAACTTTGGTTTTGGAGCAAGATACAAGATCTTCGCTGTCCTGTTTATATTTGAACCCAACCCATTGCTTTACTGTTTTATACCACACAATCTTACCTCAAATAATCCTTGCTTCTTTGAAAAAGACCCTCCTTCAAGTGTCCAGAAGTAAATGTGTGATTTGCCACAGGTGACAATGATGTTGGTCTCTGTTGGATGGAAATCTGCTCCAAATACTGGCTCGTTAGAACACTGGGAGATGCAAGAAGGTTATACATTCATTGGATGTTCATAAGAGATTATCAAGATAACAAAACACAGATGGCTTCACAGGAATATTTTGTGCTCCTTCCCTGCTTTAACTCACTGTATATTTAATAAATTTTTTAAATTCTCTTTTGAGAAATAAGAGGAATTCCACCCCATAAAAAAAAATTGTTAGTTTATTTTCTCCCCCATCTTTAGACACAGGACAACTGAAACAAGATCAAACACAAAGGATTACAGAGGTGGCAGCTGCAATATAGATAATCTACATGATTAGCTAATGTCAAGGCCGTTACACCACATCCTAAAAAGCCATGGAAATGTAATCTCTGCAATAATCCAAACACGTCATAAGAATACTTTGGCTTTGGCACAGAAAGGAAAGTACCTTAATATCAGCCATTTTTTCTGCTTTCTGCCAGTCCCACACGGAAAGGACATGGTCATTGGAGTCATCCACTGCACACAAGAAGGAACCTCCGTTCTGAGAAAAGACATACAATTGATGCGCAGGTTACACAGTGTGTAACAGGACCAACCAACACAAGAGCTTGACGTAAAGAGATTATACTCAGGGAGGGAGTTCTCAAACTTACGAATTTTGAGAAGGCGAGGCAGCAGACTGCCCGATCAAAGAACCCGGTTCCAATGATGTGCATTGTGTTCAAGCTTACAGAATCCCAGATTCGAATATGAGGAGCTGCTTGCTGTTGCGAATGAAGCAGAAGGAGTCATTCATTTCACTCCGGTCAACATTACAGACAGGGCTTTCTTAAAAAAAAAGCCTCAACAATAATCTGTGGTGGAAATAATAAAAGGTTTTCCCTTATGGTTTCTTCATTTGCCCAACATTGCAGTTGAATTTACGAATTTCAAAGCCTCGTGACGTTTCCAGACGCTGGTGAAATCCACCAACCCCTCCCCTCCCCCATCTGTCTCTCCATCCAAAACTGACGAGACACAGTAAGTATCTGTGTTGTATACTTTACGTTACATACTACTGTGCTCAATGAAAAATACCACACACGTTTCCATCCTTGGTTATCCCTGCAACCTGGCCCGTTGCTATGGTGATCCTGTCAGGGTGGACAGCAAGGCTGTGAAAAAGGAAACATCTGTCAGCTGCTGTGTTCAGACCAATGCATGAATCACACATTACTCCTAACTAGATTTGCTAATGCCCATGATTTCATCAGTGTCATTTGGCAGCCTGATAATAATGGAATAGCGTTACTTTTTGGAATTACATCCTGAGCACTGCTGCTGCTGAAACAAAGTCACAGACAGCGTGTGTGATAGAGGATCATCCAGCAAATAAATCAACATTGTGATCGCTAAAGCGCTGTAACCCACAGTTACCCTCCAGCAAGGCTTCTATTAACGCTAAACTCTCGTTTGCAGCAAGCTATTATGGATCAATTGCTTTCACACTACACACTATGTTCATCACAACAGGCACAGTTCAATAGAATAAAATATTTTGACTGTGATTTTAGTAAAGATTACAAAAATACACATGGGGGAGAAGGGATAGAAGTTTAATCACCTACATGACATGGACTGGTTGGGCCATATGGCATGTTTCTATGCTGTATATTGTACATAAATCTTTGTACAGCTGTGGTTGTAACTGTGGAGTCTTTAAAACTCACCACTTGACATCATCATTGTGGCCAGTGTAATGCCTCTGAAGCTGTTCCTCCACATTGTACAATACGACCACGGATGCAATGAAATATACAATCTCCCCAGTAGGTAACAGGTAGAGGTTACAGCGGCAATCTCGTCCTCGGTAACCGTAACTGGCATGTTCGTCAAGGTCGTGTACTGAGATAATGGCTGAAATGTCACATTATAGGCCAGGATATCAGCGGGTTTTAGTGCTTCATGTGCTGGCAAAGCTCTCTAAACCTTGCATTCTAGACAAAGTGTTGCAATGTAGTATTCACCAGGAGGTGTTGATTGCATCAATCTACATTGCAACTGCCTTATCTATTTATATAACATGAGCTAAATAAAACAGCAACTTCCTGTAGGTGAAATAAGAGCCGCAGTAACAAAATATGGTAGCGTCCAAAATAGTCAGTCGCACATTATTACTGTTGCACTTTTCAATGTCCCAATGGTTTCATTAAACCATTCATAAAACAGAGGTCTGTGTAACTTACTATACCAAATCTAAATGGATTTTTTTTAAACAGTCAGACAGACTCTTTTTAAAGCAGTTTGACAAACTGTATATAACCATAATATTGAATTCAAAGTGGTGTATAAAAATAGTGTCCATTCACAAAAGTTGTCTCACAGAATACGTGGGTGGTGGGGGGGGGGGGGGGGGGAGAAAGGGGGAGGAGGAAAAATCTAGGCAATACATTAAACTTATTAAACCATTTTTCATCATCCCAATTGCTGATGTTTTTTGTTCACTGCTGATGTGTCCACAACAACAATTTATATTTATGCAACCCTTTTCATGCCCGAGAGTGTTTCCCCAGCTCATTGGGCACCCAAGCTGGAGTGAGGGGGTGGGTGGGGGTGATGGGCTGGGGGAAGCCAGGAGGGTTGGGGAGAAGGGAGGGTGTGGGAGAGAGTTGACCAAAAGGCGTGGTTGAAGAGATAGGTCTTAACGTGGGCTTCCAAAATAGGGAGGAAGGGAGGGGGTGAAGTGGAAGGACTCTTTCTGGGATGGAGTTCCACGGAGTGTAGGCAGAATGGCTGAAACCTCGGCGACTGATGGTGTGGTTAATCGGCCAGTGGGCGAACGTGTAGCAGGCTGCTATTGGCAGAGTGACAGCTGTGACCTGGATAGTGGGGTAACAGGGAGCCATGGAGATACAATACAAAATTACTGTATATAACGCCTTGACATCGGGAGGACGTCCCAAGGTAGGGTGGGGCCAGGCCCTGGAGGGACTTCAATGCGAAGACAAGGTATCATTTACAAGGTAAATAAAGATACAAGAACTACAGGAATATATAACACACAATACGGAAAATATACAACGTCTACAGAATGAAGGATACACCCAGTCCAGCTTCAGCTTTTTGGATGGGAGTTCAGCTTTATCTTCCAAGCTATAAGTTTCCCTAAGTTCCTGGGGCATGTACATGGTGATCGGTCGACCTCGCAGAAACATTTTCACATATCCCTCTTCTAAAAGTGAAAGGAAAAAATTAATGCTCCCTCCACGAAAGGTTTGCTACTGAATGAACATTGGATAAGGTTATCCGAGATGAAAGAGAAAGAGAGAGAGATTAAAGTACAGCCAACACCAAAATCCAATTCAATTTAGAACTGTCTTTATTACTGATAGAGCATAAAACGTTGACATACAGTGTTGTTACATGCAGTGAATGGTGCTAACGTTAAACAATGAAGAAAGAAGAAAAAGATGCAGTTATCCCAAAGTGCAACAAAAAGACATTCCACGTGACCGGAAGAGCATTAGTGGCCTAACATGCCATTTAACTGACATACAGTACACACCCAAAAATAATTATTAAATACAACACGCAGAAAATTTGCAAAAGAAAATAAAGACAGAGACACAAGAAGACATACATGTATATATGGCAGATGTTACAGGACAGATGCATTCCCTCTCAATTATTGTCAATTATGTCCCCCATCAGTTATTAGGACATAATGGAAAAGGAGTTTAAAAACAGATTTGGAAGTACTGACTAGGAGACTTTATTGGGGCTTTAAAACTTGGAGACCTTGACATGTCACTGGCACTGACTATGGATGTGTGGCTCAGGCTGTTTGAAAATGATGAGGGCAGAGAGGGTGTCTTGCGAATTCCAGGTTTCCCAACAGCATTAACTGAGGTGGCTCCAGATTCTTGGCCAGGTGAGGGCTGGCTCAACATTACACCAAGGAGGTCAACCTTGCTCTCAGGCGAACCAACCAGTTTTGGAGTCTGACTCAGAAATATCTGCATCATTACTACATGGCGTTGTCATGAATATGGATGATCAGAGGGGGAGAAGTGATAAAATGATTACAAAATATAATGATGGAGGTTGTTTCAATTTTTTTTAGAAACAAAAATATAAAGAGCAACTATCTCAGTTCTTATTGAAATAATATAGATCTAGGCATCTCAACATTCTCTTTACCATAAAGATTAAATAAATCACCACCATTACTAAAATCTAATGGACAATGATTCTATTGTACAGTTTGATTACCTGCCCCTTGTTTTCAAACAGATAATCTAAGCAGCTACCCATTAACTAACTCCTATCGGTCCTGTCACATAAAGGAACTAAAGTAGAAATTAGTGCAATGTTGTGGATGCTGCAGGTTTGGGAAGGGCATGGTTAAAGCCCACAACTTATTTGCTCAGCTTTTCATTACAAGAAATGATGGCTCTTTGACAAGAAAACAAAACTGAAATTGATATTTATCTAGGATAGATAGCTATATCTACAGCAATGCAGTGTATGATAGGAAATATAGTTATAATAAGTGGGGATGTAGAGTACGATGGCTGTATTGGCCAGATGGGATTACTAAATGAACAATGCAGAGTTTTCTATCAGAATGACAAGTCCAGCTGAATACAGAACTGCCCAACAGGTCAGTTAAAGTATGTCTACTGCTGTGTCTGTATATCTCCAAGATAGCACAATGTGCAGTGTTTAAAACACTCAGTTTGGACATCCTAAGACCCACGTTCACCCAAACTAGTTTTATATCCAACAAACATTGCATAAGATTTACTGTTTGAAAAAAAGCCTGTGATAAAGGAAGATCAAATCTGAATTTTGTCTGCTCACAATTATGTGGCATTTGCAAGGTCATTATTCACATCTGTTTTATAGTATAATTTCTGTTTATAATCATTTAAAAGTGTTTTTAAAATATCAAGACATCTATTTTGACAAACTACTGCAGGTGTGGAAAACACTGAAACTATAGCAAAAAGGGTCTTTTTTTTCTACAAATGCTAGTTAATATATGTAGCAAGTTATCAGGCAAATCAGGACTGCATTATATGTTGTATAGCTCCCTGTCTATACCTCATATAGTACTTCAGTCACACGACTCACAGGCCATTGAGACACAAAGACAACACAAGAGACTGTGAGTCCTGAGCCCACTCCATTAATTCAATTTTCTCAGAATGACAGAAGAGTTGAAATATTCAAAATCCAGGGAGGTTACACTCGAAGGAAAGACGTATTAATGCAGTTGGAAGTTGTGGCTGGAAATCATTTGGAACGTTTAGTATTTCAAAGTGAAGGCAAGCATGCTTGCAGAAGCGGGCTGTGAGTACATGTGATTAAGTCTGGGTGGTTGGGGAATGGGCAGCTTCAGAGAGCTAGAATGGTGCACAAATGAGACCTACCTTGGCAGTATGTCACACGGCGCTTCCCTTGTGATTACAGAGACAGAGATAGAAGTGCTAGATAAAGACGTGTATGAGGAAAGTCAGCTTCACCTAACACCTGTACTAACTAACGGCTGTGCAGCCATTGTTCATTTACAGCTTCTGACTAACCTCTCGCAGGACACAACATTTCAAACATCCCTCAATTGCTTTGCAACAATAAAGAGTTTCAAAAAGGAGCCAAATATGTTTCCTGAAATTCCCAGAAAGGATCCAGGGTAGATGTGGTGTGTCATTGGAGGCTGAGGGCCTCCTACTCTGTTTCTATTGAGTTTCACACATCAGAACAGCTGGGATTCCAACACCATAGACAATACAATTAGACATCACAGGTAATGGGTATCCAGTTGTGTGTTAGTGTGAAGCCTCACTCATGGGTATGAGACTTCTAGGCATGAGATATACTTGCATTTTATTAACCTTACATGCAAGCATGCAACCTCACACACACACACAACTGGATTTTTTTGCCACTGGCACAAAAGTAAGATTAGAGTCAGAGAAGGAAATAGATTGTCACAGAGATAGAGAAAGAGAGATAGAAATATGGATACACAATGAGAGTGAAAAGCTCAAAGACAGCGAAATAGAGGCCAGCCTCCAAAAGATTTTCTTTTTTGTTTAGCTCTCCTTTTATTATTAAAGACACAAGTGATTCAGGGTCACACATGATGAGTTAGATGTTTTAAAGGAATCTGTTGAGAAGTTGGATGGGTAATTAAAGGGATGCACCAATGATCGACTTGTGCTAAAACTGCTGTGTTGTTAATTACTTAATTTCTCACTCAACCTCATTAGATTGAGACTTTGCAAACAATGTTTCAAAACTAAAGTTCACCAACCATACTTCTCTCTGACCATACAATTAGTACATTAAAAGCGGGATGGATGGGTGGATGTTGTCCAAGTTGAGCCAAAATAAAGCATGATTCTAGACATCTCAATTTTAGGGGAGTTCTTATTGGGATGATTTGATGTGCATCCGAGTAGCATGAATTCTCCCGAGCTAAGAAGGAGAAATCAGCCAGGGCTCCCATTCCTGATTTCTACATTGTACCCTTACTAGAAAGTGCTCTTGTGAGGGTCTGCCAAAGACTGGACTGGGATCAGCTTTGATCTCTCCATTATCAACCAGCTAGTCAATGTGAACGGCTTAGACATGAATAATGGGCAGTTTGGAGCGTGCTACCAGAAGGTTACTGGCATCTGGGGAATCATATTTCAGAGGAGAAAATTTGATTCACCCCCACCCAACACCACAAAAAAAACAAAATAGCTTAAAAATTAAAACCTATCTTTATAGAAACAGTCACTGGATACAGTTCCTAAACAATGCACTTCTGATTCCAGTCTAATCAGCTAATTTATCCCTTCCGCATTGGTACTTAATGGAGAATTGTGAAGAACATTTTCTCAGTGCTCAATATTTAAGTCATTTTCATTGTTTTACCCACTCTCTCCCTTGGAGACCCACTGTGTATATTCAGAGAGAAGCACTCTAGTCTGGATGTAAATACCAATTTCAAACTTATAAAGGAAGCTAAAGGCCAGTCATTGCTGAAACTGCATCACCCTCTTTTCCCTCTGTTGAATGTAATCTCTCTCATTTAGCCGTTGCAAGCCCCACAAGTGAATACATTGATTACCTGAGTTGCTAGAGCATTTTTGCCGACTGAGAATTATGAGGAAAGGAGGCAATCTCAATGCTCCCTTTGTTAGAACCCTAGATGTGGAGTGGTTTTAGGCAGCGAAATGAGACATTCCTAGCTCCATACAAGCAGCGAGTGAAGGATAAGGGAGAGAGAAATAGGGCAAACACTCCAAAAAGCACTCACATGCCAAATTGCATAGTGGTTGTGCTCTCAGTCTATTAAGGAAAATAAAATAGGATACATTGGCAGAGAGTCGCAGAGTGACTCATTTGTTATTCATCATCTAAATCTAGAATTCTTAGTCATACATCCATTCACTAGGATCACTTGTTACCACAAAAGGTTCAGAATATCTCTCTCTCTCTCACTAATGCCTGATGTGGATGACACACTGTTGGGCTATTTGGACTGAAACCATTCAATGGTTCCCAAAATTAGACTTTAGGTGGAGATTGAAAGTGTAAAGGTTTCTGAAGACAAATGGGATGAAAAAAAGACAACAAATAAATTTTTTTGAAAGTTGAAATGATTATTCTCGCCCAGAAACCTAACAAATAAATAATAGTTTGAATGCCACTCACCTGCATTGAAGAGAGGTTCCTTGGATTTGCTGTAAAATATAAATAACAGAGGACTGATGTCAATATCAACAACTTGTAGAGGCTTATCGTTCAATGGAATTAAATTATTCTGCTTTTTAAAAAAATAAAAATTATTGTTCGTTTTAAAGTGACAGAATTAACAAACAGCCATGGAGTGAGTGACCAATTTTATTTGGGGGAAATTTGTTGTCCAGGACACCAGTAGAAACCTTTTCTCTTTTTGAATAATGCCATGGGATCTTTAACCTCCACCTGAGTAGGCAGTTGGGACCTCGGTTTACCATCTCATCCGAATGATGGCACCTGCGACAATGTAACACCCCCCCAGCACTGCATTGGAGTGTCAGCTTAGACTATGTGATTTCAAGTTTCAAGGTGGGGCTTGAACTCACAATCTTCTGACTCAGAGGTGAGAGCACTGCATCTGCGCCAGACTAACAACACTTGAGGAATACAGACAGAAATACTGAATGAAACATTCAGCATGAAACATTAACCTATTTTGCCTTTGCAGTTGCCAACATCCTGTGGATCTACAGCAATTGCAGTTTCTCCCCTCTTTCTTCACAGTAAAAAAAAAGTTGCTTGGACAAGTTTGATTCCAGGGCAGCTAATATATTCATATTCGCACTGATGTTCAAAATACCCACTCCTAAGATCTTCTTACCTTTCAACACATTAGTTCCAGTCCACCTTCTAGTGGGATTGCATATGACTGCAGTATGGATTTTTTGTTTTGAAATGCTTTTACTTTAATTAAAAAACAATGCCAGAATTCAGAGAAACTGAACCTTTTGACCCTGACATCACCCTACTGTAGAATAGGTCATTTCTTATGAAGTCAGGTTCTGTTATTTATGAGCAAAAATACAATTGCATTCTGATTGACAAAAGTGTGCTCCCCCACCACTAACATCATTTTGCTTTGCTGTGTCAATGTTCAGCCTCCTCTGTTTTGATTGTGTGTTCTGACCTTCTACTTTCCAAAGGCAAATGTTTGTCAAGCAGATGATTTATTTAGCGGAGAGGACCATCTGTGGTGCTGCAGATTTATTTCAAGTATACTACACTGGGGCTCTGACCAGCTTTAATTACAGGCATGCATTGCCCGTCAGCCAATGGGAATCTCAATAGTGACCCAATGTCCATATTCCTTAAAAGGATTAATCGATAAGGTTCTCTATCAGAAATCTTTGGGAGTAGCACTCAGAGTCCCTGTAGTTTGGTTTGCAGCACATCCACTTCTCGTGCCTCTCTGCTGTTTGTGTAACTCAGATTCTGGAATGCCATTAAGAAATATCACAATTAAGAGCCCACAATTCATTGACTGAAGACCATTATTTTTCACATCGGTTTTATACATAGTTTTTATTCATTGCCATTTACGTTCTCTGGTCTTACTTTTTTTTAGGGCCCCTTAAAGTTACAGTCTGGGTTCACCTATCCTCTACATGTATTATACACATTTTCACATTTTGATGAGGTCTTTCCATTCTGTAGTTGTTACTTCTTTACTGTATGGAAAGGGCAGTAACATCATTAAAGGTTATTTGACACTATATATTGTGTGTTATCTTGGTTACGATCTAGCGTACCTATCACTGGTCTTCTTCCCGCTCGAACCACTGCTGGTCGATCCCGTACGGGTCCTGACGTTTTTGGAATCTCCAAAGCTCTCTCGGCGAGCGGCTGGTGGCACCCGATCAGAGGAGTTGCTTCTCTTCACACCACTGGGTCAAAAGAAAGTCGTGAGTTAGCTCTTCCTCAAGGTGAGCTTGTGTCGTAACACAACACTGTCAATGTATAATTTCCCTGAGCACTTCCAAAACCAATTGTCTTCAAATCATCACTCTCTTTTGCGAAAGAGGCTGAGTCAATTCAGTGCAAACACGCACACACAAAATACGAGCTGAATGGCCTCCTTTTATGCAATAAACTTTCTGCAAATCCATAATTCTTTGACTCTATGCTGCAATGTCAACAAAGCAGATTTTATTTTTTTGAAAGAACATAAAACAAAAAAAACTATGAAGCTATTTCAAAATTAGAATGCCATCTCTTATTAAGCACAGTTAATTTTCCACATATTTTTGAATACACTCATCAATGGTTATACTTGCACGAAGGGTCAAACTAGTTTGAACATTAATTTCTAATAAAATTCTGCTCTACATTACCATTAATCAGAATGTAAAAGTGACTGCCTATACTCTTGCAATATTGAATAAATAAGGTGTGAAACTGACCTGATAATATGAATGATTGTATGATGAATCATGTGCAGGCGTGAAAATGAAAAGGGGTAGATTGCAGAATATCATCTTATTATTGTATATTGCAAATTAAGAAGAAAAAATTCACAGTTGGAGGTTAATCAGTTTATTAGATTGCTGTCCTTTCACCTCTAGGGCCTGATTTTAAATCCCCAAGAGATCTTGGGGATTTTCAAGATCTCCTTTTACCAGTTTTAAGTGTTGTACATAAAATAATTGTACCCTAACACAATTGGTAGTGAACATAATAATAATAATCCTTCCATTTGGTATAGGATTTACCAGTTTTAAGTGTTGTACATAAAATAATTGTACCCTAACACAATTGATAGTGAACATAATAATAATAATCCTTCCATTTGGTATAGGACTTTGCATGTTGGGAGAACATCTCAAAGCACTTCATACTGTAAAGTGTAGGATCTGTGTATAATTTCTAGGTGAATGCAGCAACTAATTTGCACACGGCAATGTCCCACAAACAGTGATGAGGTGGGTGACCAATTTTAATTTGGGGGATTGTTGGCCAGGATACTGGCCAAGAAAACAAGTAGAATCTCAACTTGAGCAGGCAGACAGAATCTTGGCTTAATGTCTTATCTAAAGGACAGCGCTTCTGACAATGCAACAACACACCTCTAACATGGCACTGGAGTGTCAACCTTGACTATATGAGTTCAAAGTGCCAACTTGAACTCACAACCTTCTGACTCAGAGGTGTGAGAGCTACTAACTGAACCAGGCTGACACACAGATGTAAACCCAAAGCAATAAACTGCCCTTAATTTGACCGATAGAAAGATAGAGATAAAATGGCAACTTTGTAAATTACTTTTGCAGGGAATACTTGCGCCATGCTGATGTAGTACAATAATGAGAACGAGGTGATGAAATACTTATGAGAGAGGCTTAAGCACAGCTAATTTACAGTAGATGATAAACACTGTTTCAGTCCTGTTCATGTTATGCATGTTCTATATATCATAGATACATACCATTGTACAAGATTTCCAATCACCAAGATATTAATGTGTAATACAGATAGTCATTCATTCGCACAATTATTCCTTCTGTTCTCCTGGAATATTCCGATAATTAACTGTTCTATTAGGGATTCGAGATGTGATAATGAAGACTCTTGAAATCATTTACCTAAGAGCTTGTTTTATATGATGAGTCAAAAGACACGCAGAGCTGATTACATTAACTCAGCGTAAAATGTAGTCTCCCTGTGTCATGTCTGATAGTCATTTAGTGTGTTTTAAATAACAGGACTGATAACAAACCTTAAAAATTGGTGGAATTAATGGTGCTGTGACCAGATCTAATTCAAAATCCACAACCAGTTTTGCAGGAGGTGGTATAAAATTGGGCAGAAAGATGAATGCTCTTTTGGGTATCCAGAGTTGGATGCATTTACATTTTCAGAGATCATGTTTGGGCAATAACTAGTGAGAACTCGTACATCTTTTGCATCACTGCCTCCAGAATTGGAGCAGATTTACCTAATACTGTATGAAGCAAAGCCAAATTGTAAGAGTCATATTCCTGAGAGAGTGTTGAGGGTTCATGTGTAAAAATAAAAAGATAATTTATGTAAGTCTGCAAAAGCTTTTCTCTTTGAATGGAAAAACACTCTTGATAGCTAATAGACCCAAGTCTGTACATACAGATTATTTAATTTTCACTGTTAGCAGCACCTAGAGCAAATCTTGATTATTTGTGAACAAAACATTATTCGTCATTTAATTGCATGAAATAGTTTACGTTTGAATAATATTCTCGATTACTGAAGTGCGGAAGAAAAGAAATAAGTATTGATTGTTTTGTAACAGATGAGAAGCTTCATTTTGTTCGTCTAAAGAATGGCCAATAACCCTCATATCCAAGTCCAATTTGCAACTGGTGCTGAGAGAACAAAAGGATTTTGTTGTTCTTTGTACATCTTGAACTCATCGTGTTACCAAAACCTGATATGGGAAGTGATGTAGTGATTTGTGTGTCAAGCTTGGCTCAGTTGGGAGCCTCTGAGTGAGAAGGTTATGGGTTCAAGTCTCATATCAGGGCTTTAAACTCACATAGTCTAGGCAGACATCCCAATACAGTGCTGGAGGTGTGCTGCATTGTCGGAGGTGCCATGCTTTGGATGAGAAGTTAGATCAAGGTCCTGTCTGTCTGTTTAGGTGGATATTAAAGATCGCCGTTAATGTACCATTCAAAGAGAAGGGAGTTTCTCCCAGTGTCCCAGTACAACTATCCTGCAGATAACATTAGTCATTCACTCCATGGCTGTTTGTAGCATATTGCTGTGTGCAAGTTGGCTGCTGCTTTCACCTACAAAATATTCCATAGTAGTGCACAACAGTAGCTCTATGATAGTAATGTAATCGGAGGTTCAACCAAAGGGGTGGCGGGGGGAATGTGTATTATCCAACCTATCTAAATAACAGCAACAGAGACCAAAAGCAAAGAGAGCAAAAGTTTTCAATATTCAGATACATCACCCAGGTCTCACTAGCATTATTTAGAAGGCCAAGTGATAGTGTGACATAGTATCTATATGATTTAAGATATCTGATGTCTCCTTGGTACATACTCAGTGAACATCAATCTTTGCAGCGTTGGAAATACAGACTAAACACAGCACAAGGCTTGCAAACATGAGTATGTTAACAGTTCCTTTTACACAGGTCAGCTCACACCTCCTTATTTAGCTCAGTTAAATTCTTCATAACATGTCCTGTATAACGTAACTATCGCAGCTACAATGTACCCGACATGCCATTTTTAATTCCCAGATAAGTGTGTTCTGTAATGTGGAAAATCAGATGTGTGCGGAAGCCTCGTGAACTGTTTTTGCGATAACCTCACCTTTTGGGAATTCTATTCAGTTTAGTAATACTAGCCAGACAGCTCTGCCTGCTATATCCAGAAATGAGATGCGTTATGGAAAGAGAAAACAAAAAGAATGAAATGCTGAAGACACGAGTGAAGATCTCATGGAAAGCACGAACGCGACACATGACAGAAAACAAATACTGCGATGATAAACTAGGATGACAGTAGCATGAAGGGCAATTGTTCATTATCTGTAATGGTAACTGCACCCGTTCCAGTGAAATAAAAAATAAATCTTCGCGGTGATATATTACTGTATCATGAAGATCAAAGAACTCCAACTGGGTTAAGCACAGAACTATTAGCGAATGTGTCACTTCCATTAACACATGACCATTGACAAGAGGGGTTTATGCACAGCACACTGTAAGGCAAGGTTTTGTACTCTTCTATCACATTCCTTGGAATTTTGTAGAAACAATAAGGTTTTGCACAGAGGGAATTATGGAGCAGCCACATCCAAACCCCGTGGGGCAATTGAATAAGAGATGAAAAGAAAAAAAACATGTATGTTAGAAACCTGAAGAACAAAAAAACCCCAGAAATGGTTGGAAATACACAGCAGGTATGTGTGAGGATCTGAAAAATAGAAACGCGTTAGTGTCGGGTGTGTTCCTTCATCAGAACCTGAAGGATTGGGCACTGTTAGTAATGGAATGAAGAGATTAAACAGGAGTAGACAAAGAAAACCAGAGAGAAATTCAATAAGTACCTTTTGAACATACACATACAGCAGTTATAAGGAAGACAACCGGGTCTAAGAGGCAGGATTCAGAACGGGATCTGAAAAGAATTCCGAAAGATCACCTCCCGCAGGCAACAGATATCCATTATAGCAACAATAAATTGCATTTATATAGGGCCTTGAAGTGGGTAGGGTCTCAAAAGCAGTTGTGTGTACATTGACACATAAAAACATAGCCCTGAAAGTGAATGTTTCTGAGCAGAATTCCTGTGAGTCAGTGTGACACACACACACGGTTATTGACATGGTTGGATTTTCACAGATCCTGGTACACATGACGCATTTCGGACCTTAAAGGTTAAATTAGGTAACGACAGGCTGACATTGACCTGCAGTCTGCAGTTTGGTTCTGCTGCAGCTGGTGACCCTGTGAGTAACAAGAAACCCATTGTGGGCGTTTGCAAAATAACCTTTGAACATTATCATTAAAGGAATTTCCAAAAGCAAGGCAACTTAGAATATGATGAGATGTTTCCTTCTATGAAAGAAGACAATATTTGTAACAGTAAAACTGCATAGTAAAATACATCCATCACCTCCAATTTTTAATATATTTTCTCTGCTCCTTTTTATCACGTGCTGCAAGGCCACACAATACTCCTCATTCAAAAAAACAAGTAGGTTGTGAAGCCCCTCCTGGCAATGTTCTTGTAAGTGTGTGTGTGTCATTTGTGTGTCTGTGTAGGGCGCAGGGCATCCTGTCCAACACTAACTGTCTAGTTCTCTGCTAGAAAAGCGATCTGCCAATCGACTAACAACCAAATTCCTACTTTGTGCTAGCTAAACAGATGTGTGTGGAGTAAGAAGACTTGCCCAATGTTTCACCCTGCCCGGGAATCAAACCCAGATCCTCTCGCTTGCGAGGCGAATGCTCTAACCACTAAGCTACAAGACTCCATGTACAAGGATTATAGTTCCAAGGATTTGCAGCCAGACTTATTTTAAATGTAAATGTTAGAGCTAATGGCAGAGACCCATCTGAATTCACACCCACTAATGATGCTCAAAAATCTCTCTGTATTTAACAATTTCATCTAATTGGCTGAAGTAAGATTGCCCTTAATGATGACTCATAATTTATCTGCCACAAAATATTATCTTGACTGGTAATTTGTGGCAGGCCAGGCTCTGATCAGGTCCACATCAATGTAATCTTTGTCAGTTTCATCCCAGTGCTACTCCAGCTAATCTGTGTAACATTCATCTGATCAGATGGAAGAGCGTTTGCATAAACAGGGCTATTCCATCAGACTTGAAAGAGCAGAGTTTTTTTTGTCTCTTTGGGAACTGATTCAAATATTAACAATGACCTTTAAGTCAGAGTTAACTATACTTGAAAATTATCCGTGGACTGCTGCTGATAATAGTATCTTTGCAGTTATGTATTGATGTGGAGGACCACGCTGACATTTTTTTGTCCATTTAGTCATTTTCAAAGTAATTTAACTTTGAATTATTCAGGCGAAGCTGTTCTGCATACATAATCAGCAAGTCATTAAAGTTATACTCCACTGTCCAAACCAGCTGGGAATACCCTTCTCAATATAAATGACATGAAGAGCCTTCTTGGGAAAGATGCCAAACAAATTTAGACCTAACTGTCAGCCAAAATAAAAATTTGAAGACAAAATGTCCTTTCTTTTAAGGAGCAAATGAAAATGTTCAGATACAGAGGATTGCGCTTAATAATCCTTGCATTTTGATATAGCGCCTTATCACGTCGATGAAATGTCTCAAAGTGGTTCACGGAATATGTTGTAAAATGGAATGACTGTGTATTTTGTGGGAGGAACGAGGTAGCCAATTGCGCACAGCAGTGTTCTACAAACAATCGTAGATTGAGTAACCAAAAGGATTGTATCATTAGCTGGGATACCAGAACCTGTGTAATCTCACAGCTACAAATGATGATCCTAACCACATATTCCTTTAGTCAGTGCTTGACAACTGAGTCAATGGTTAGCAACAACAGATCAAAATTTAAAACCGACGATTGTACAAAATAGTACCTGCCATTTATTTCAAGAAGCAGCAGTATTACTGAGGGTTCCCCCCCCAACAAGTGTAAAATAAGTACTGGTGTATTTTCAGCAATTCATGTGCTGGGATATTGTAACCATACCCACTACGTGCTGGATGTGTGTAATACACTTATTCCCTCAGTGGTCATTATGTTTGCAGGAATCTGTAATTACAGCTATTAAACAGTGATGCAGAATTAATCTAAAAACATTTACCCAACAATTCACATTTACTAAAGCCGTGGGTTTGCTCCACAGACTGTCTCGCCTGTACACACACAAAACCTTGGCAAGCTAACGGCTGGTTCAAATTGCGTCTCTACAAAAGATCTGAAGCTTCGATTTGGCAAAGTTAATTTTGCTGTTTCCTGCCCTGTTCATTGCTGACAGTCCAGTTCTGTGAAAACTGGCCTTTCACTGGTGACTGGCAGAAGTGTCAGCCGGAGAGCAGGGTGCTGTAAATCAGGGCAAAAGCAATTTTGCTCTTTTTTGTTCATTTATTATAATCTAATTTCAAATAGTATTCAAGCTTTAAAACACAGACCCAAATACAATGGGAAAGTGCAAACTTGTATAAGAGAACATTGATCGAATTTAGGTGCCCATTACTAAAAACATCCTACAAGTTATAAAACCATCACATAAAATGTCATTGTTATAAATTCCTGGTGTTTTCTGAGATTACACTGTGAATTCTATCAAGATTCATGACACTCTCTGAAGATCTTTTATTAAAAATAAGCTACAAAGTGCTATAGACATCTAGTCATTGAAATGTCTGTTATGTTAATCATACATAAAATTACCATACACAATACAAGTATGGGGATTGTGGCAAATATTTGTAACTGCAATCATAAAAATGTTTGACATTACACTGAATGGTACAATAAAGCAAACAATTAAAGTAAAAATTGTGGGGAATAATACTGTAATAGAAGGGATTGGATTAGGTTATATTAGGCCTCTCCTGGAGATAGCTCAACTGCCTTCAAGTGTCGAAAAGGAATTTTCCAAACTTCCCCCACCACCCCCGAAATGGCCTTTTTTTAAAAAAAAGTTTTCCTCGATTTTTCATCTCCCCAAAAGGAAACTGAGTGACCAGCCAAAAGGAGAGATGTGTGGTTCCAGTGGTGGGTGGAGGTAGAATGAGGGAAATTATTCTGAGAGTGGACAAAATGGGTCTCTGGACTATCTCCTGCTCTTTTGTTTCTCTACATAACAAGTGCACATCGGGAGTTTCTGTAGAGGCAGCGTTTCGGGAAAATAATAGCCCTGCATTTAAAATAAAATCATGGGTTTATCAGGATAAAGTAATGGCGGTATAGAGAATGCATTCATTTTATGTTATTTGGGACATTGGAGTTATAGATGTTCTGGGTGGTGTAATGGGCTATTGTAAGAGGTGCGTGATATGTTAGGGCTGTTAATGTTAACTGCTGCTTTGCAGTTGGAGTAGCTGCTCACCTTTTGGTTGCTGGTGATGTGTTATCCTTCCGAACACCAGATGGAGATGGTAGAGAGCCACTTCCTTTCTTTGGTAGTACAGTTCCATTGTTAACTGTAGGCCGTAATGGTAGAGCTTGCACTAAGGGTCTTGCTGCAAACCAAACAGAAGACCTATTACCATCAATGGATGAACAGAGGGAAATTTTACTCTTGTCTTTGAAGTAAAGGATCTTTGAATGTTATCTCCAAAATACACTGCTGTCACTCTTCCATCACAAACTCTATTCATTTTGGAGATGAATACTCTGAGGAAAAGGTGCTTTGTGGTAATTTTCAGAAAGTTGGTTCAATTCCAAAAAAGCATTGTACTCATTCAAGACATGGGCAAAGCAGCGAGAATTCAAAGTTATTACTCTCAAAAATTGTATGGGAAAGTAAAATTTAAAAAATCCATTTTATGATGCCTTGTCTGTTAAAAAGAGAGATGGAAATAAATAATTTTCGCTTTATAGTGCCTCATCACATTGAAACATCTCGAAACACTTTACAGTTAGTTACCTGAAGCAATATGAAATCCATGGTCCCCAATATTTCAAGATGAGCCAGGCAATCTTTCAGTGGTAGTCAATGCATCGGGACATCCCAAGATCAGGGAAATCTGGCTGATCTTCCTCATTCCCAGTCTGGGGCCGGGAAAGCATTTATAGCATCTGTTTCACAACACTTGCTAAGATAAGCCAACTGACCACCAACAGTGGGAGTGAATGCGATCTGAATGGCTTTATGGGGTAGAACCTTTACCAACTCAGCCATGAAGAGAGCCCAGTTTGTTGAGTCACCATAAAAATCTTATACAGTACCTTGGACAAAGGTTGATCGATTACAGCTTCTCAGAGATTGAATGTCCAGAGCAATAATTTCCTATTTCTTAGGAGTGCTTTTCTATTTGTTGTCACTTGCTGACCACAGGAGTTTCAACCGTAATGATTGAATTAGAAGCAATTAGAAGACTGAGCAAGTAGCAACTCTCTAATCGAACATTACTTGGCTTTGTGTGGTACGGTGTAATATATATATTTAAATTGTGAAAATTACTAACAAATCTAAAAGACTTTTTTATGTTCTAAGAATGATAGAATGTGATCTCAACCAGAAGGCATTTTGAGATGTGAAAAATCAGACTTTGAATGCAGCTACTCTCGATAAGTGTAGTGTGAGCCTCGAGGCGACTTCTGCTGGTGTTCAAAGGTTATTTCCTTTTGGTCCTTTAACAAGGAACGATATTTAGACACAAGTCTGAAGTTCTCCATTATCCTGTGACTTACTGCTTTATTGAATGCATTAATTAAAAGGATGGTATTGTTGCTTATTAAGGATTTGCCGTCTATCAGGGGACGTCTTTTTCCCTCAGTGTCAGATCAGAGTGCCATTTGCAAACCTCGCTTGTTAGTGTGTCAGTTGCTAATTCAGGGCAAACAAATCAGCAGTCGTGATGTGTGGTGGCTGCTTGCCAGGACCCTCTGTGTTTAACACGCTTCCAAAGCAAGTAAATAGGGCAGACAGGAGCAGTGCAAGGGAACCCTTTGGGTTAGACTCGACTTTGACTATTAACAGACATATAATAGCAAAGGAAAAGATAGCACGGGACAAGAAAGGGGCACTTGGCCTTTAAGCCCACAGATGAAGAGACCATGCAAAGCCTATGGACTTCATCATAGACTTCAACTCACCCACTGTAATTATCTATGATGAGAAAGGTCAGTGCCTAGAAATTTCCTGATCCCAAATATATTCAAACAAAAAGGGGCAGAATATTGAGGGGCATAAAAGAGAAAGAGAGAGAGGGTTTGAGTGAAAAAACAAAGAAAAAAAGCAACTCACCAACTAGGGTTAAAACAAAAATTACTATTGAGACACCAAGGTTTCATTAACTAAATACACTGTAAGATATAAAAAAAAGTCCTTACGTTGAATCCATCATCATTAATTAATTATCGAGTCTGCAGGAGAAGCAAGCCAGAATTTTAATTGCGTGGTTTTCAACATAAGGAGTGTAGCGGTAACTGGATTGTCAGCATCTTCTACAAGCACCCTCAGTACACTATAGGGAACCTGTCTCTATTGAGTTGAGGGGATGTGAAAGTCCACTGCTTACCTGGTTTGCTAGCACTGCCCTGTCTACCAGCTGTGGCACTGAATGCTCGTTCAGATGCGGCCTGATCTAAAAGGTCCAGAACGAGGAAGGTTTGGCAAAAGAAGAAAGGCAGAAACAGAAGGGAAGGAGAAAATAAAATGCAGAAACGTGACTGAAATACAAACAAAAAAAATCCAGAACTATAAAGCGAACAGCATGATCCAAGTTAAAAAAAAGATCAAAGAAATAAGCCACTGAAAGTATCTCAGCAGTAGGAGAAGGATAAAAGCCCCACAAAAACCCACATTGGCTCCAACTAGGTTTTATTATTTATGCTAACTTATTAAAATCATCAGGTCAGAAAGATAAAGGCTTCGACTGATTGTTACAACGAATGCTCACATATCCAGCGTCCTGTCCTCCATGTTAATATAAAGGGGTTAATGTTGGTAGCTTTGAAAATCAGTATTTCACACAGCACTTTCATACATATTTTAATTGTAGGTTTTGATGCATTCATCAAAACATCCGTGTGGTCACAGAATAAAAACAGAAATATTCCAAGAGCAACGAAATAAAGGGAAAGAGCAGGGAATTGGGATTTAAGTAGTTATCTCCAGTGGATAAGCACAGTGACCAAGGTAGGCATTATACCCTATTATGTTTAAGGAAATACTGTACTTAGGATAAGGCTCAATTCCTTAGCCTCTCTATTCACAAGTTAAATTTTAAAACATTGCCACAGATTTCTGACATCATGTCACTCCCGGTTTATCAACAACAACAACAAATTGCATTTTGTAGTTCTTTCATTTCGGGAGTACGTCCCAAGACGCTACAACAGAAATGTGGCTCGGATTAAGAAGCACGCCTCATTTTGTAGCAATTTGTAGTCAATAATCCTATAACTCTAAATATTTTTAAATAAAATACTGGTTTCTTTTATCAGAAACATACTGACCATTCGAAAGTCTAATCGTGGTCACCGAATTAATAGCCTGTTTTAATGGATCTGAATGAAAACCTGTTTTAATGGATCTGAATGAGAACGCATCCATTGTCACTCGTAGTGTAGTGGTGGGAATGAGATCAATTCCTGATGGTCTCTTACCTGTACATACCTGAGCCCCTAATGGCTTAGCACTTGCCATGTATCTGAACCCTTATGGTATAGTGACTGCCATGTATCTGAGCTCCTGTTGGTTTAGTTCCTGATGTATCTGAGTCTCTCATAGTCCAGTATGTGCTTGAGTTTAACTCACAACCAATTCACACTTTGTCAGGGATACTTACTAGCATATGTACGATACAGTGGGGACTTACAGAGACACGATGGATAGCCTGGTGAATTTGCATCCTTCTACGGTACTCGCTCAGATTTACCTTTGGTAGGTCCTTTTCTGGTGAGCATGGCCTGTTGCTCCTCAGAAACATTCAGGCGTCGGACTACATCAGCCAACGCCGACTTCAACAGCTGGATCTCATCCTCCTGCATCTGGACTCGCTGCTCCAGAGAAGCAACCCGATCAGTGACCTCCATGCTACTGGCTGCAGAGGCACTATCATCTAAGGAAAACAGAGGGGGAGAAATCAACAAAGTGAAAAGAATTAAACGGAACAGGTACTTTTAGCTCTTTATGAAAATATTTTTATATATACACATTTCCTGTGTATACTTTGCAGTCCTTTGATACATTGTAATAATAATCCTTACATTTGATATAGCACTTTTCAGTTCAGGACCACGTCTCAAAGCGCTTCACAGATCTTTACTGTAAAGTGTAGTGACTGTGTATTTTTGTAAGTGAACTGATTGATGAAATACTTTACAGTGTTCCACTGAATATGGTCTACACCAAAACAAGAAAAATTGCAAACCTGTGTTTCCTATTTTTTTCAGTTCCTATTGGAAAGAGATATGCAGTGAAATACAATAATAAAAAGGAACTTTAATCAGCAACATTCGCTTAAAAGCTACGGTGAATGGCTTGCACTTAACAGCAGAACCAGAGCAGTGTTTCTCAATATTTTTGATACCAGGGATTGTTCAATTTCTTGTTAACATTTGGGAGACTGTTAGTAAATGAGTTCGTCAGGTCAGTCGGTCTAAAGAGATGCTCTGATATGGACTGACCATCAGGTTGTCAATGACCAGGGCTGGTCTTCAGGCCTTAGTGGAGACACACTGAACTAGTCCCTGGAGTTTGCCACTGAATGTATGTTCTTTTTACCAAAATCGAGCTTTTGAGCTTGTTAACTTGTCACCAAGATCGGACACAGTTTATTCTGCAAATATTCCAATGCTTTGTCAAAAGAAACATCAACTGGTAAGGTTGTAGAAGCCAGCGGCTTTATTTCAGGGGGTGGAAATGGTTAATGCTGACCCTGAGGTTGGCTAAGTTTCTTATATTATTTTTCCGTTAGATAGAGAGTCAGCTCAACAGGTTATCCCACCTATGTTGTTATTCAATTCCACAGGTAATCACAGACCTAACAAAAAAAAAGCAAGTTGTACAATAACGTACTCTCTAATAATAGCTCAGGAGGCAGACTTTCATCTCAATACTAATTAGTGGCATGGAGAATATCTGCTATTTGTGTTTGAGCCCAGTCTGCCACCAGCACACCAGAATCTAAAGAGAAAGCCTGTTCAGCATTGCCTCGAATCTGTGTCAACTCAGTGCTTCTCACCGACACTCAGTGCATTGCGCAGTTAGTGCTGTGATCTGAGATCCTCTGCCAACTGCTAACCCTTCTTATTTTCTCGCACTGTTCTTTACAAACAGCAGGATATCTTCTACTAGAGCGTTGTTATCGTCAAGTACCATATGATGCTTTGCTTGTTGGCAAGCATGCGTCATTGTGTTGCTGCTACCCTGTTGCTATGTCAGATTCTGTTTGGTTTGGTACAGTGCATCCAACCCGTCCCTAGGTCTTGCCAAGCATCATTCAGCTGTGCTTTTTTGTACCATGAGTGCCTGCATGCTATCATTGAGTCAAGTGGCATCAAAGTGTGCCAAGCATTCTGAGCGAGGGGATTCGGTGGGGGTGGGGGGGGAGGAAGGGACAATGGCTCTGCATGTGTTCCCATCTACACTACTCCGAAGATGAACAAAAAGAATTCAACAGAGCATAAATCCAAGTGAGAAAAGGCGTATAGGTGTAAGGCAGTGGTGGCCAACCTTTGTGGTCGGCCAACAAAATACACTTTCTTGCTTGAATTGGTGTAAGTACTTCAGGTTCAATTTTGCCATATTTCTAAAGAAATGCAGAAGCCTCACAGGATCGCTTCAAATTGGTCTATTTTCTGAGCCGGGATCCCTTGAATTCATATTAACTTCCTACATCTGGTTATTGGAAGGAATCCTCAATAGATTTCGCAATTAACCAACATTACAAAATTGACCCCAATATTTCAAACTATAACATGTCTCAAACGTTGCTTTGCCTTCAAACAGGTCAATATTATTTTCTTCCAGAAATCGTCCGCGAGGAGCAAAAACCCGCATTGAATTGTTGCGCAGTAATGGATATGAGGGGTGGTGCCAGCACGGTAATGAAGTGAACGAGGCAAATGCAGCTTTCATCCTAACAGTTACTGTTGCGTTTCCAATACTTAGTGGCTAATGGGATGCTCTGACATTGGCAGCTGCTCAGGTTAAGGGTTTCGATTTTATTTATCATTACTTAACCTTTTACAAAATACAAGCTGTCTAAAAATAGTGGGTTCCTGAATAACTGGATTTATCTCTCACAACGTTGTCCTTCCAACTACGAACCTACAACGTCTTGCACTTCTGCCCTAGGAATATCGGGGAGAATTGTTCCGGGTTAACTTCCTAGTTTATCTAATGGTTTTCTCGAAGCTCATAGCGCTTGGTGGTGGGACCCTTAGACCATACTGACCAGAACTGTACACAGAAATTGAGTTGCCGCCTTGATGAAATAGACGCAAACTTGGGTAGCTGTGTCCACAGGGGAAAAAAATACACATTAGAATCAGAATGCAACACGTGCAAGCTTTAGGAGTTGGTAAGGAATATTATTCCATTTGTACATGCGTTTTTCTTCAAATTTTGTTCCCACTGTTATGCAGCCTCCACTTGCACATGTCTTCCTGTTGATAATGACAGCATGGTCCTGATCTGCCAATGACGGGTACCCTAATGCCCCCCACCCCCTCCTTCCTGAGATGCTGCGCCTGTAGACACTAATGACACCTCTCTGTTGAGGGGAATCGGACTTAGATCAGCGGAGTCTAGAATTTAAACTCAAGTCTTTAAACCCTCCCCCCACCCCCGCATTATCACCTTCTGTGATATCTTCTCTGTGAAGTAGTTCAAAGCATATAGAGAAGAAAAACTACCGAAGAGCCCTGTAATAACATGTTTTGTTATAAACGATCTTTGTTTTACAACTCTGGTTTGCTTAAAACAATGTTACTTTGTAGACCAATGTGTCCAATAATTGGCTGACTTCTAGCCCATCAGTCTGTCACCTACATCACTTCCACAGTAGGCAAACGCACCCGGTTATAATCTTTTGGTTCCGCAACTACTGCATTATAATGGACCCTCCTGCATTTACCTTTGTCTGGTCCAGAGTGAGTTTTACATATTACATCCTAAATTTGAACAACTCAGCAAAGGATTGCAGAGATGCTATTACAAAGAAATAACCAATCTCTTTTCTTGGGAGCTCTATAAATAAAATATTGTTGTGAAACATACTAAAACATTTTTTGCTAGATCCTTCAATGGCAGTCAGAAATACTCTCGAGATGAAGGGAGTTGCTTTACACTGTGCACTCTAGTCATGCAAAGTGATACTGAGATACTGAAAGTGAAGCAGGCATGAAGGAGCAGATGGTCACAGTAAACACCTCACCAACTGTTCTTCCTGAATGGAAGGGACATATGGCCAGTGACAACAAAACCAATATTCTTAAATATTTCAAAGAAGGGTCGGCATTCTGTTTGCCAGGATGGGGAGGCTAGTTCAAAGAATGACAACACGTGTAAAGGCTTTCAGTATTTACCTTCTGTTAGTTGTACTAACAGATTTAATACAATTTAGAATTATTTACTGGGAAGGTTGGTGCTCCCCACAATTCCACACTAGACTCTCGGTCTTGTGCTGTCCTTTTGGTAGCGCTCGGGGGGCTTAAACAAGTTGCAATGCTGTAGAAGCTGCTGTACGATGCTCAAAGAGTGAGAGCCTTAACATTCCTAACAGTGGGAGCTCCCAAGCCACAACAGGGTTCATTCAGAGGATCACCTTACATCAGAGAATTCCTGCTTCTCCCATTGGCAATTGAAACTTAAATGATTTTAGTGATTCACTACCAAGAAGCAGTCCTCCCATCTGGTCTACAATACATATCACATCAAGGCTGGGGAAAGCTGTATAGCTCATCATTTATGCATAACCTCAATAGTAAACTCTACCAGTAGAGTCTGAATGCATTTGTTGTATCCAATACTGCAACTGTTGATTTTCTTTAAAGCAGAAAATCAATAGAAATAATAGCAAGCTTGACAATGCTGCCAGGATACAAGAAGTAGAGGGTTGGATCTAGGCTCTTTGAAACACACAAATCATGCATGTTTCACATTGTCATTCTTTGTAGTGCTACTCTTCATTTTTATACTCGTGCTTGCAATTCAGAAAACCTCGGAACTAGACACAGCATTATAAAACTGCAGTAAGATATCTCACAGTTTTGAACTCAATTGTTTGAGCCACAAAATGTCAACACAACTCACCATTCAGGATTAGTAAACCATGTGGGAAGAGGGCTCAGAAACCTCATACACAATGAACTGCTTCCTGGTGGGGTGAATTCATAACATAGTACTGTACCTGTATAACCTGTTGGAAAAGTGGCACATTACCTGTGTAACTCGATAGCTGAGGTGAGAATTTCCCAGTACTTGTCTAATCTGGTAACTCTTAGCAAAGTATCATCACAGTAAATGAATAACCTGGTAACCTAGGTGAGAATTGTGACGTGCCTGAGTAACCTGGTAACCGGGTGACAATTGTCACAATATCTGTGCAACCTGGTAACTGGGGTAAGAATCATCACCGTAAGCAGGCTGAGGATTACTAATAGGCCAACAGAGTCGAAAGTATGCAAGTGCAAAGCGCAAAGAACATGTGTGAGGATGCAAAAATGATAGAAGACAACATTTTTGCCAACCCCTGGCAGAAATGGCTAAATATTTGAATGTGGTTTCTGACTTGTGAGTTGTGTAAACCCTGTATAGGATGGATTGCTGGTACTTTTAATTAATGTGAATTAACAGTAAAATTGCATAATTCATTAAATTGGTTGTTGACTACGTAATGGGGTTGTGCCTGTAATTCCCCCCGCGCGCATGGTTCACACAACATGAAGTATTCGACCCTAAAATCACAGCATCATGCATCACAATAGGGGTTATTGTTCCCCCGATGTAGAATGGAGCATTATGCACATCAGGATGCAGTGACCCCGATTATGTGCCCCAGTCCAAGGTATCTAGGCTTTGGTTGCCATGTTCGTTTACAAGTACTCAGTCACT